GTGGAAAAGCAGCATTGATTTGGTGTCAGAGTTGCGGATCTGAAGTGCACAGCGACTGTAATGACCACTCAGTTCTGCACTGACAACTTCAGTTTCCCAACATGTCCACTTCCAAACAACAGACCACTCTCTCACACACATACACACACATGCATCTGAGAATAGAAAAATCACATAGAGCAAACTCTGCATGCACACAAAAACACAAATATAAGTTCTCTATGGCATGACATGCTATACTGCATCCAGAACTATTTTAAACTGCATTTCGCTCATTATTTTATAAGTATTATGCCGCTTTTATGTTAATTGAGCGAATACATGCAAAACAAATTCATTTGTCACACTGCAGGATCATTTCAATTGAACTACTAAAGGCAAAAGCTGATTAAAAATGGTGAACATTTACCAGACTTAAGATACACGCATTCATTTTAATATAAAATATTGATAAAGTTAAAGAACTGGTTATGCAACTATCTGTGTGCATGCAGAGTCTTTGTGTCTTTATGTTTTTGTTTTTTAAAGAGGAAGAGAAACAGAGGAATTACAGCTATAGAAAGATGTATAAAAGCAAAAGCATACAAGGTTGTGTTATAATATGAATTACATTGTAAATAAACACAGAGTGACTATATTCACAAAATAACATGACCTCAAATACCAGATTGGTTCTATATAATGGTTATTGAATAACATATACCATTATTTGATTAAAATGTAGTTTCCTGTAGTTTCTGTAGTAGATCCAGCCATGTAAACTAAGTTTAATAATTGATATATATGGGTGCTGTGCAGTGGTTTACACAGCAATTTACATTTTGCATTTTATAAAAGTATGTGTTTAGCACGACTGGAATACTTTATTGACCAGTTAGCATCCAGGAAATGATATATCCACTATATTAGTGTGTAATTGTGTCAAAAACACACAACTGTTTATTGATATCTGTCAAACAAGAACTGTACTGTGCATGATACCACAGTACTTTAATTTGGTTATTCGGTGCTGAATAATGGACATATTCTTGTACAGTGGAATTTAAATGGCACTTTAAAGAATTGCATAGTTACTACCATGGTACAAAGACACATGTGCCAAAAATAAGGCAGTACCATGGTATTCTTTGTTACTTTTTGCTAGTGAAGTATTTTGAAACCGGTACCACACTCACCATTTCAAAAAAAAAAAAAAAAAAAAAAATAAGTTCAGATTTTTTCAAAGTAAAACTCTTTTATTTGATTACAGTTTTGTTAGTGCTCTCCAATAGTGTTTTCTGATGTGCCCGAGTCTATCTTTCTACATGAGCTGATGTGTCCTGTAGATGGCGCTGTACTCTACACTTCCACACGTCCTCACTGCGCTCTCTCTCTCTCTCTCTCTATCTCTCTCTCTCTATCTCTCGCTCTCATAGTGGCTCTTTTGTTGTGCTCTGTTGTTCTCAGTTCTCATTCTATTTATGTTAATGCAGCGAGTTCATGCCGTGGTGATATGTGGCTATGAGTGTAAGTGTGTGTGTGTGTGTGTGTGTCAAGAGGGGGGTCAGCGCCTGTGTTTAGAGACAATTCCCATGACATTCTCTGGCTTTGGAGAGCCATGGAAAGTTTCTTCCCAGGATCACCTAATCCTGCCAAGTTCCACAATCTCCTCTGACTCCTTACACTCACTCACACACTGACCTGGGCCGGAGAGACCCTTCACTGATGTAGGTGTGTGTGTTTCTGTCAGGATTGAAGAACTGCAACCAAAGAAAATAAATGATGTGAGCCCAGGTTTCAAGCAATCATAAAGTTCTGCCTGGCACATGCGAGACATATTTAAGACCGTTTAGAGACATCTATCTGGAGTCGAAGAAAAAATTTATAACTCTAGAATTGATACAACTGTAAATGTCAGAGTTCACTGTACACTTCATGAATCTGTCAGATTATTATTATCATATGTATTGCAAGATGCAGTTGGGATTGGCTGGTTATTTCAGGTATCATTTTAGTAAGCACTAGTTTTGCAGTGCTATTTACGACAATAAAACACTGAAATAACCACAGATTGGAGTCATAGCAGATTAGAGCAGGAAACAACAACAACAACAATAATAATAATAAAAATAATAATAATGATAATTATTATTATTATTATTATTAATTTACTTATTTTTTATTTGCTTATTTATTCCCATCTCTTCATCTCTATCTGAGGGATTAAGGTTTTAAAGTCTTGCAAACAATCAAACTGTTTTTGTTATAATAAAAAAACACTTAAATTCCTAAATCACAGTTAAGTTCCTCATACAGATTAACATTTCATACTGTTGCACTGATAGCCCTTATCACTCGCTCTCATGTCTCTCTCTCTCTCTCTCTCTCTCACACACAC